TTTTGAGTAATTAGGGCATGCTCGAAACAAGAACAAGAAAAATAAGGGGATTGATTTAAATAATTATATCATGTATTAATTACATTATTTTCATGTAAATAAAGTTAATCCTGAATATTCATCCCCCTGGGGATACCTCTTTTTACAAAGACTTCTGTGTATGAAATAATTTTTTCTTCTGATTCAACCCTAACTAAAGATTACCCTCCACAATAGGGGGCACAGATGAAGGATATCTGTTCACATGAGTGAAGATCATCAATCCAGATGTCGCTACAGAAGTAAATCATGGTGAAATAAAGTGAGAAATATTAAGATACGACTAGGTAGATCAAATACAAAGTGCTTGAAGATCAATCCATTCAAGAATAACGAAAGAATTTCTGAAATGCAAGAAGAAAATGAGGTGCTCAAAGCAATTGGAGTCCTATACTCATTCATCAGGAAAAAAAAGAAGAAGAAAAAAAACAAGAAAAAAATGAGAAATTGAATCAAGATGGGTGACTCATTGAGCCTCAAGATACAATGTTGATCAAGTGCAATCAGTTCAAAGATTCATATTCAACAAAAAATGCAAGAGAAATGCTGGAGATATAAGAAAATGAAAATAAACACAAAAATTGGCAGTCTAGAGGGATCCAGAAAAAGAAATGATGAAAGGCAAGTAGCAAAGCAAATTCAAATCAAACAAGGCAAGATTGAAGGCATCATGGATTCAAGTCCATTTTAATCATACATGGATTTCTATGTGAAAGAGACCATCTTCAGATTTCATTCCACCTCTCAGGATTGATTTTTATTTGCAAAAATTGGGTTTTAAAATCTTTAATGCATGATATAAAAAATGATAAAAGGGGGTTCAAGATGTAAAATTTCTAAATAACATCTTGAAACCAAAGGAGTATTCGAGTTAAAAACCTGAAAAGGTGGCTCAAATATCAAATGATGCAATAACGACATAAGAGGCAATCTTAAGCTCTTGATGAAGCACCTCACATCCTAAAGACGTTCTTGAGATTCTGGAATCAAGAAATATCTCTATGAGATGAGTATAACAACCATTTCTTCAAGTTAATGGACGCTCAAAGAGACATATATGCTGGACCAACCTAAGAAACCTCACTTTACCAGAATCAACCTACACTTTAAATCAGTCAATAATTTTGACATTTGCCATATGACTATGATTTTTTTATTTAAAAGTGTAGTGGATTTACTTGATATTCATTAAACTCATGTTTTATGTTTTGATTCAATTGTGAACCTGTAATGGGTAATACTTTACAAAATTCTTTCATTATTCGATAAAGAAATGAGAAAAAACATTTTCAAACAGGACAGTCTCAAATGAGAAAGGTTCTTGAAGCAAGTTGTTGCCTATTCTACCTCTATTTTAGAAAAAGAATAAACGAGGCCAAAATGATGAAGCATTTCACATTCTTGAAAGAAAGTGATCCAAGAATCCAGAAACCTGGAGAACTAAATTTGCAACACTCTCTTGTGACATTAGCAACAACTTGATAAGAAGAAGATGATCACGTCATTTAGAAGATGCACATATCTCAGAACATGGAGATATTGATTTGTAGTTTATTTGGGGAAGCTCTAGTGAGTCGAGGTGAATCCATCTTGTTCGATGGTTTGAAGTGTATAAACCGACGGTTCAAGGTGGTATTGGTATTAAGAGTTTGCAAAATCAAAATGTGGGATTCCATATAAAGCTTGGCTACCGGATGGTCGATCAGAGTGATCATCTTTGGGCGCTAGTTCTGCTTGGCAAATATAGAGTCCACGATCTTGTGCCAGATTCTTTAGCTCGATGTGGTGGCTCACGGGTTTGACAGGGTATTTGATGGTCTGGAATGAGTTCTAGAATAGAATCGTTTGGAATCTTGGGGATAGGGCTCACATCCAATTTTGGAGTGATCATTGGCTTGTTTCTCTCAGCCCTTTGTGGGAGTACTATATCAGGAATTACTTGCTAGAATTTGACTTTATACTGGTTCGCGACACGGTTCAACAAGATGGTCAGTGGCAGTGACATTATTTTCGTAGTGTGTTTCCCTCACGGTTCTTTTTCATTTTATGGTCGTTAAACCACCACCTACCTTGGGTGTAGCTAATATGGTGGGCTAGCGTTGGGATCCTTTGTGTCGTTTTTTCGTTCGCTTGGTGTATCTTTTATTGGAGGATAACTCTACTGTCAGCGTTGACTCTGGGTGGAAGGTTCTTTCCTCCTTTAAAGGCCTTCCTCGAGTCAAGTCTTTCTTTGGTTGTTTTTTCATGGTAGGATCTTGATAAATGATGAGAGGTATCAGTGTCATCTCATGCATAATGCTAGTTGTACAGTTTGTGATAGTGTCATTGAATCGTTGTCTCATGTTTTCTGTTCTTGTCTGGTTACTTAGAGTGTCTAGGACCAACTCATTGATCCAAGACACATGCATGAGTTCCACACATTGGACTTCAGTGTATGGTTAATTAAGATCTTGACCAGCCCTGGTTATTTTCTAAAGAATGGGGATGTGAGGGAGGATCGGTTTGGGACCCTTCTATGGGCGTCGTGGAAGCAACGTAACCAAAACGTTTTTGAACCCGAGGTGTACAAACGCGGACCTTCTTGGACTGGAGTTCTAAATTAGTTGAGGCGGCGCGTGCGGCTATTCATTTCCAGTTTTTGGCACTTCTCAAAGCACTTGACCGACTGATAGGTCGGGTTCGTGGGTCACTCCAGACGTGGGGTGAATCAAGGTAAATGTTGGTGGTGCTCATAAAGCAGACACGAGACTTGCAGCTTGTGGTGGGTGTTGCGGGATCATATGGGGGCCTGGCTTATGAGATTTTTGAAGTCGGTGGGCATTTACATGGCGTGGGAGGTCGAATTATGAAGGATCATGGAAGGTCTTGAGCTAGCCTGGGACTTGGACCTCCGGTTCATCTGGATGGAAACCGACTGTCAGGAGATCATCTTGGCTCTGTCGTGTGGCATGGGTTTTCCTTTGCTGCAGCAAATACGGGGTCTCATTAAGAGAAGCTGGGAGCTTCAACTATCTTTTTCTCCTAGGGAGATGAATCGAGTCACGGATTGCATGGCTCGTCTGGTGTGTGGAGCTCCGTTTGGTCTGCATGTCTTTGACGTTCCTCCTGCTGAAGCTTATCGTCCTTTCTACGAGGATAATGCTATTTTCACTACAGCACAATAGGTTTTTAGTGGCACTTTTTAGTCCTATAGCGACTTTTTAAGCACCGCTAAAAACACTACCGCGCTAGGAAGAGCGCCGCAAGAAGTGCTGCTTAAAAGGTAACGGCGTTTGTGAACCTGAATGCCGCAAAAGGTCGAGTTATATAGCGGTGTTTGTTCTTTCAAACGCCGAAAAAGGTCAAGTTATATAGCAGTGTTTGTTCTTTCAAACGTTGCTATATGTTTTGATTTATAGTGGTGTTTTTGTTCACAAACTTCTTTAATTATCATGTCTTTAGTGGCCTTTTTAGTACAAATACCGCTAATTCTCTTGTCTATAGTGGTTTTTTTGCCACAAACTCCGCTAATTATGATGTCTTTAGTGGCGTTTTTTCCACAAACGTTGTTAATTCTCTTGTCTTTAGTGGTTTTTTTTGCAATAAACACTGCTAATTCTATTGTTTTTAGTGAAGTTTTTAATACAAAACACCGCTATATATTATGATTTGTAGTGGCATTTTTACCACAAAAGTCGTTATTTGCAAAAGGTTGGCATAGGCAGGTTTGATTGGGTTGCTCTTCATTGAACCCGTAAATTGTTGATCATCACTATGTTAATCCTTAAACTTACGTTAATGCTAATATAATATTCAAAGCTCTTTAAATAGTTTGATCTACCCTCAAACCAAAATTATTTGTCCCAAATGAAATTCTATCTGTTGCTAGCTTTATTAATTAAAAATAAGTCTTTTCATGTTCAATTTCAAATTTGCAATTGGACCTAAAAATGATAGCATTCAAAGATTTGGAACAAGAAAAATCCATGAATCACCAACATCAAATTATTGTCACAAATACAGCTTTTACTTAAACTTAAAGAGTCTCCAGGATAGAATAAATTGCTGACCAATTTGCATCTCCGGAATTAATTCTCCTGAAAGTTTGTTCTTTGCATCAGTTTCTTTGAGGTTTGACCTTAAAAACAGTGCAATCACTTGCATCAAGCATTTTTTTCATGTTTTTAGCATTCAATAGGTAAACGATAAACCATAGTTCAAAATTACAGTTAGATTAAAGGAAGTTCTTCTACTGATCAACTTACTTGGCCAACAGAGGATACCCCCTTATCTGTTCTGCCACATCTTGAGTGCTGTGAGTCATTCTTGTCTCCAACTAAAACAATTGTTTTCTCGAGAGCTTTGAAAATTTCAGACTGCATGAACGCTGGAGTTATATGAATATATCCGAGAAAGAAACTAACTGAATAATACACATCTAATACAAGTTCAAATATTATTATGATTTAAGAGTTAGTTTATTTTCTTCTCAAAAATATTTTTTTAAAAAGATTCAAATAAATCTTGCACTTGTCATTCATCAGCTGTAAATTTCCAAAATATCTTTAAGAACCATACCTTAAGAGTGGGATCCATTTGTTCTTCTGAAGCAAAACCATAAAACCTGTCATATAGCACCTGAAATTATAAGGCTTTGTTGCTTTCTACAGTCTTTACCAATTTATAAATTTTAATTTATTTTTAAAATATTATTGATTAAAATACAATAACAAGATTAATTAAAATGAAGAAATAGTCCAATATTGTGCGTCTTGTGAGCTTCGACGCAAAGCATTGGCGGATCTTAAAGAGATTATGGATAAAGATGAAAGCTATTGGTTTCAGAGATCCCGTGTTACGTGGCTTAAAGATGGGGATTGTAATACTACGTTTTTCCATGCTAGAGCAAATGGGTGCCGTAAAAAGAACTGGATTGAGGGGTTGCAGAGTGATGGGGGGTTTGGTGTGATAAGTTGGAGGACATGTTTGATGTTGCTACGAGATACTTTTCCTCTCTCTTTTGCTCTTCTAAAACGGCTACCGATGAGGAGATTCTCCAAGCCATTGATCGATGCGTCTCTCCGAGTGAAAATAAGTTGCTTTGCCGAGAGTTCTCCGCCGAGGAGGTCACCAATGCCTTTTCTCAAGTTAATCCGTTGAAAGCGCCTGGCTTCGATGGACTTTCAGGTCATTTCTTTCGTTCGTTTTGGAATATTGTTGGTTGTGACTTTGTTAATCTTTGTCTTAGTCTTTTGAATGGTACGATGAATTTTAATTTTGTTAATCGTACCATTATTGTCCTTATTCCAAAGGTTAACAACCCTACTTTAATGAAGCAATTTAGACCGATTAGCTTATGCTCGATCATCTATAAAGTCGTGTCAAAAGTTATTGTTAATCGCCTTAAACCGTTGATGCATGCTTGTATTGCTGAAAACCAATGCGCTTTTGTCCTTGGTAGACGTATCTCTGACAATTTTTTAGTAGCTCATGAAATTTTCCATTATCTTAAGGGATCTAAAAATGGTCCTAATAAGGGAGCTGCCATTAAACTTGATATGGAGAAAGCGTATGATAGAGTAGAATAGGGTTTTTTGTTCGATGTTATGATGCGTATGGGTTTTAGTTGTCCTTTTATAAATCTTATTCGGAAGTGTATTTCGTCGGTCTCTTTTCAAGTTCGTATTAATGGAGTGTTATCTGACCCTTTTGTTCCTAAGAGGGGTCTCCGACAAGGAGATCCTTTATCTCTATATTTGTTCTTGTTTTGCACTCAGGGACTCTCTGCTTTATTACTTAAGGCCCAAAGGAGGAATGAGATTAAAGGAATTAGAGCGAGCATGAGAGGGTCACGGATTTGTCATTTGTTGTATACCGACGATAGCCTCTTGTTTGTGAAGAATTCGATGGTGGAGGTGTGCAAGATTAAGAGCATCTTGAACCAATATGAGAAGGCCTCGGGACAAAAAGTGAATTTTGAGAAATCAAGCATTTACTTTAGTCCTAATACCCCTACTTCAGATAGATTGAACTTCTTGAATGAGTTAGGTGTTGTTGAGGCCTCGGACCCGGGGAATTATCTTGGATTGCCGCTCATAGTTGAAAAAGGCAAACGTGCAGCTTTTAATTTTATCAGAGATAACACCGAGAAGAGGATTCAAGGATGGACCAAGCGACTATTATCTTTTGGAGGACGAGAAGTTTTCATCAAGTCGGTGGTTCAAGCTCTTCCAGCCTATGCAATGTCTTGTTATCTTCTCCTGGAGGGTGTTATCGAGGATATCAAGTCCCAAGCGCGATCATATTGGTGGTCTGGGAAACAGAATGCTAGAGGATGGGCTATGGTGGCTTGGGACAAGGTTTGCCGTCCCAAGAAATTTGGAGGGATGGGATTTAGAGATCTTAAATTGTTTAATTTTGCGCCCCTTGGAAATCAGATATGGAGACTTATCCAATATGACAATTCTTTGGCGTTTAAGGTACTCAAAGCTAAATACTTTCCTAACACTTCTTTTTTGAGGCGAAAGACATTCCTATGCGTGGGCAAGCATTGTGAAGGCCAAAGAGGCGCTTAAGGATGGTTTTTTCTAGAGAGTGGGCGTTGATAGTAAGGTTTCTATGTTATTAGACAAGTGGGGGGATTCTAAGCCTATTTCTTGGACAGACAGGTACTTGGATAATTTTGATCACCCGGTTGGAGTGGGGGAATTCATGATTCCAGGGAGTGCAAGGTGGGATGAGCATAAGATTAACAGAGTGCTTCTTGCGGAAGATGCATCCAGGGTCCTTAACACGCTTATTGCCCCAGTTCAAGCTGATCAAATGTTATGGAGCCATCACAGTTCGGGAAGGTATTCCGCAAAGTCGGGATATAACTGGTTAAAAATTCAAAACTCCCCTTTGGTGTTGGATGAAGGGATTTGGAATGCAGTGGCTAGGGCGAAAGTTCTTCCAAAGATTAAAATTTTCGGATGGAGATTGTGTCATGATGCTATTCCTTCAGGGTCAAAAATTAAACAAGCAAATCTGGGAGAAGGAATTTGTCCACTTTGTAATGGTGTGTTGGGATCGGCGTTGCATGCTCTAAAGGATTGCCCCAAATCGAAGACGGTTCTCATTTTGTCGGGGCTTCCTCACGAGGTGGTTGATTGGAATGGAGATTCTTGTCTTCGATGGATGTCCTTCGTGCGCTCCGTATTACATTCTGAAGGGTTTGATTTGTTTCTTGCGTTGCTTTGGAATTTATGGAATAGGCGTAACAAATTGGTTCATGACGGGGATTTCCAACCGGATAGAGAAGTTATTATTAATTCTTCTAACCTTATTGGAGATTATAAGGTCGCTATTAATTCCATTGGGTGTTCAGGTGATCTTATCAATACCCGTAGATCGCATATTTGGAGTAAGCCGACTCAGGATGGGGTTAAAATAAATGTGGATGGGGCCTTTTGCAAAAATACTAGAACAACGGCCATTGGAGTTGTGGCGAGGAAATCGCATGGAATGGTTCTAGGAGGAATGGCGAAGAAGATTGATCCTCCGTTTACGGCGGAATCCACTGAAGTAGTTGCGTTTACTGAGGGCATTCGTTTCGATTCTAAGAACGGTTGGAACAATGCTATTATTGAAAGAGATGCCATCTCGATTGTTTACAGGTTGACTAACCAGATTACGGAGAAGACCCAGGATATCTCTACAATTGGATTGTTGCTCAATGAGGCTAAACTGATGTTGGCTGACCTCCCTTCATTTAAGGTTTTTTATGTTAGTAGGGAAGCTAATAGAGTTGCTCATTCTTTAGCTCAATGGGCCTTATCGAACCATAATCCAGTTGAGTTTTTCTTGGATGAACCAGATTGTATTAAACTTCTTGTAATTGATGATGCTATTGGAATATAAGCATATTTTACCTTTAAAAAAAAACAATGTTAAACAAAGAGATTTCTAGTATAACACAATAGTCACCTGAATGCTAATATTTGTTCCATGGAAGGTTTCATAAAATCTTTTCGAATTATCTTCAAACAATATTCTAAGCCAAAAATATGGTACAAGAATGAGAACTTCAAATAACATGAATAGCATTATAAGCCATTTCAGCCGTAGAAGACCAGTACAACAAATTATTTGGCACAGCTAACCATATCAAAACTAGAAAACGTTTAAGCATCTAGAACAAAATAATCACAGTAAACTAGGGAGGAAACAAAAAACAACTTCTTATATTTCAAACAAAATAATCACAGTAAACCAAGAAAAATAATTGTGGCATAAAGTTTTATAAATTCAAATATATACCAATTCGAATTCACAGCAAACTTAAATATCAACGATCAAAGATTATCACCATAAAAAGATTAAAACTCCCCCCAAATTGTCAAATACAAAACCATAATTAACTTCAAAATTTCCCGACTAAAACAAACCTTACCAATTAGGATTCTAATAATCTCCCCTCAATAAAGTTTCAAAAATTCAACTTAAAGATCAACAATTCAACATATTACAACCCATGCATTGCAATTTTCCATCTAGCATTAGGGTTAAAATATTTGAAAGATTGCAACTTGATCGAACATGGGCAACAACGACCGCGATGGACATTCCTAGAAGAAGCGCAATGGAGTCAACGTCACGAACAGCAGGCTGCCGAACAAAACTAAATCGAACCCTAAGAGGCCGATGTTCAGATGACAAACGCGTTCCTTTATGAAAAGAAGAAACGGAGCAAGAAGACGATGAGGGCGCATCTTTATCAACAACTTTCTTTTTCTTCTTTCTGATGAAGGGTTTTGAAGGTATGGTGGACGAACAAGCACAAGTTCCGCTGGGTTGCCAAGAACTAGGGGAAGAAGAAGAAGAAGAGTCGGCGTCCATTGGGGAAAAAATAAAAGGTACGAAATTTTGAAAAAACTCACTGGCCTAATCATATTTGTAAAGTCAGAAACTGAAACGACGCCGTGAATACATTTGAATTTCCTCTAGAGTACGAGTCTATAGCGGCGTTTGTATACAAATTCCACTAAAGTATGAGTCTTTTGCGACGTTTGTTGAAAAAATATCATTATAGATTAACCCTATTACAGGTTTTGTATAAAAATGCCACTAGATGATCCCTATTGCGGCGTTTGTTGAAAAAATCTCACTATAGATGAACCCTATTATGGCGTTTGTATAAAAATGCCACTAAAGTACTACTTTATTGCGGCGTTTTTTGAAAAAAGCCACTATAAATGAACCCTATTACGGCATTTTTTATAAACGCCGCTAAAGTACTAATCTGTCACGGCGTTTGTTGAAAAAATGTCACTATGGGTGAACTTATTGTGGCGTTTGTATAAAAAGGCCACTAAAGTACTACTCTGTCACGGCGTTTACGCCGCTAAAGTTAGCATTTTGTGGCGTTTGGAATGTAAACACCGCTATATGTTCAAATTTAGTGACGTTTACTCTCAAAACATCGCTAAAAATGCCGCTGTAGAACAATTTTGTTGTAGCGTGTTGAAGTTTGCTATCTACTTCCTCATTAAAAAGCATGGAACTAGAAAGCATGAAGTTAGGATTTATATACCATGATAGATAGGATATTTTCTTTCAATTAATTGGTACTAACCATTTTATTTTTTTACTTATTTTCTATATATATACATTTTATTTTGCTCTAACTTGTTTATATTAATTTCTTTTGTTTGCATTACATTTGTATTGCTCAATACATTTCCAAATCATGCATTAAAACATCCATTCATTAAAATAATGATTTCGACCGAAGTGATCTTGGTTCTTACTTGTAGCAAGAACGCTTGGCACGACACAAAAAAATGTCTAAAGAAATTGAGGATAGGCTATCCAAATTTGAGATAGAGAAAAAAGAGACGCAGGAAAAATTGAGGAGTAAGTTGGCACAAATTGAAGCTAATATCACAATATATAAGATTGATCTACTGAACAAGATGAAAGAAATGTTTGGGAAGCATTTGACCGCTGGAAAGAGTCTTGATGAAAATCCCACATATCCTCTTGATGTTACACATGTTCACATTCCTGGGCACACCTCTGCGCATTAGGAAATCCAACCAACAGTCCACTTCACTGTTAAGAACCCATAATATCATGCTGGAGCTTTGTTCCCCATTGATTGTCCTATTGCTTATGGGTTAAAGCCAATTGAATTTTGTATTGATAATGAGATCTCTAACCTAAATGAATTAGTTGAGAAGAAAAAACTCATCCAACGATTGAAAAAATATAGAATATGTGATAAAATCTAGAGAGACTGCTGAGTCATTTTATGGGTTTGACGCCAAAGAGCTAAGTTTGGTCCCCGACCTGGTTTTCCCACCAAAGTTCAAGGTTCCAGATTTCGAGAAGTATAATGGGACCACATGCCCTTCATCTCATATCACCATGTATTGTCGTTGCATGACTGGCTATGTAAAGAATGAGGAGTTGTTGATCCACTGTTTTCAAGACAGTTTATCTAGACCTGCTTCCAAATGGTATAATCAACTAAAACGTACTCAAATATATTCTTAGAAAGACTTAGCTCAAGCCTTTTTGGATCAATACAAGCATATGGCTGATATGACCCCAGATCAAACAATGTTGCAAAACATGAATATGAAGTGAAATGAAAGCTTTCGACAATATTCACAACGATAGAGGAACGTTGCTTCTCAAGTGCATCCACCATTGATTGAAAGAGAGTTCACTACTCTATTCATTAGTACATTGAAATTTCCCTATATTAGTCACATGATAGGGGTTGTGACTAATAATTTCTCTGACATCGTCATGTGTGGAGAAATGATAGAGATAAATATTAAGAATGGCAAGATAAGAGGCTCCAACACTACTGACGTCGAGAGAGAAGCTGAGATCAATACAGTGAGGTATTATTCAACTAATCATGGGACCAAATCTTATAGAATGACCCAAGAGAAGGCTCATATCGATGACATTCCAATGATATGAAAAACTGCTCCCATTACTAGTTTAGCAGAATCTCGTGACTCCAGTTTAGTCTAAACCAAAAGAACCCGTATTTCCTGAAGGGTATGAATTTGATGCAATATGTAGCTACCACAAAGGAAGCTCGGGGTATACTACTGAGAATTGTGGGGTATTAAAGCGCAAGGTTCAGAATTTAATTGAATCAGGAGCATAGACATTTGAAGAATGATAAGGCAAGCCTAATAAACAAGTGGAAGTTGTTATCTACCACTGTAGAACTTTCTATTTTCAGCATCTTGTTTGATCATGTTTTTCTTGTTCATTTCTCCACCTTTTGTGATAAATAAATTTGTGTTGCTTTTATGGTTATGATCAAGGAATTGAGTTTTAATCTTGAAGTTTTTTAGTATCAAGTAAATTAAATATTCTTTTAATTTTTCAAGAGTCGTAGATCTTTGGCAAGTGGTAAAATTATATCTTCCATATCCCATCCAATGCCAATTACTTGATCCTTGCAAAAAAACAAATACTGACACTACAATTATCTGAGACTTTGAAGAAATGTCTCTACCCGTTTTTGAGACACCAAATCCAGATATTTACCTTCTCGGGTAGAGTTGAT